TCTGTGGAGGCACCTTGTAACCGACCCCTCTGCCTCAGTCTTCCTATCTGCGGAAGGTGAAACCAGCAGGAGTTTTTTGCTGTTGAATAACTATCTGTGAGTTACTCTGAAGATACAAGGGGCAAGACAGCAGAGAGGAAGAAAAGGCAAGAAACCAACAGATGACACTTGTGCCGGTACAGACGTAGGTCACATCAAGCAAGAACAACAATGACGTTGCTCCAAGTACCTGTTGCCTATTTCCTTCCTCAAGGAGAATCAGGGTGATGAGAACAATAAGCAGCTGCTGGATGGGCAAGAGACTGTAGCACTAATGTCTGCAAATGGGCAGCTTGGAAGCTGCTGAATTTAGTAGTGTTAATGAAGATCCCCCTGAGCAAACTGTTCTCCAAGTGATGCTGGGGACCAGTGCAGGGAAGGAACAGAGCCAACATCTATTTCTGCCTGGCAAAAGCAAACAAGCAAACACACACACACCGAGATCGCTGTGATTCTCAGAGAGTATTAGCAAAGGACAAAACTTGCATAACTGCCATAAATTATAAAAGCCTCCCTCAATCTTGGTTAATTTTCTTGTAAAAAGGGAGGGAAAAATCTGGAGCAGCTCAGCATGAAAACAATTGTGGGAGGGATAATAAAGAGACAGCACGGAGGTATCTAGTTGCTAGCCCTGATATCATTAAGTAAGTGCAGTAGAAATGTCGAGGTAAATGCATAGCAGTGAATCACAGTCAGGCATGATTAACCTTGGGTAGTCTGAACTGGAAATCATTTACAAACACAAAGGTACTGAAGAACATCACAACAGACAGTACATCGAAAGTCATCCCAAGAGCAGGAGTCTTGCTGAGCGCTTTGTGTATTTGTGCCATTTTTGAATTATTGTCATATTTTGCACGCGGGAGGACAGAAGATCGCAGACCCCCAGCTTGGGAAGGAGTTTCTATGGCACCGCAAGGTTCTCTGAAACACGTTCACTGGCTGGAAACACTTTTCCTTGCACAGAAGTTTTATAGAATTAAAAGTTTTATTTGCAACATTCCAAGGTTTACTGGAAGGATCCAGTTTTTGCCAAAGACAGACTAAAATCCTGTATCTGAAAATATTAAAGAACAAAAGAGCACTCTTTCTTCATCCCTTTCCCACTCCTTAATGCAGCCCTTCAGACTATAACTGGTAAAACCAGGGGGAGAAAGGATGTTAATAAAATTTAGGTGTTTTTAACAAAATCTGTGAAAGTTTTCTGACAATTGAAAATTGAACCTTTTATCACAAAACCAAAAGAACAAAACATTGCTGGGTATTTCTGAACAGCCCTAAAAGTTTAGAAATGCTCAGCAAAGCTGTAACCAGATGACCCATAGAGAGCTATATATATTAAGAGTACAACAACAAAAACCCCCTTCAAATCCAGAATTCTCATGGCTTTAAAAGCATTCAATTACAAGGAACATGAATCAACTGGGGAAGACTCCAGACAGCTTAACACCTTTGTATTGTTTGCACCTTTTATTGCAATTCTTCAGTGCCAGCTCAGGCGATTATTGTGCATGCCGAGGCGGCGAAGGCCATAAGAATATTGTGCAAAAGAATACAGCTCTGCTCAGACTTCCTCCCCAGTTTTGCATCATTCTCATTCTCCTACATCCATCTCAGTTATCTCTAGCGTTGTAATAACTGCCCTTATTTATCTGCCTCATTAGGATGCTGCATCAATTAATGTGGATCATCTAATGCATACCAGTTTCTTAATGTTTAATATTATCATCAGTGGACAGCTATGTCGTACCGAGTCTATCTAGGGAGTTAATGCATACAGGGAAAAAACCGTATGCATAATGCTATTCAGAATGATGCATTTACCATACCCAAACCCCTCCGAACAGACCACCACAGTCCTGCACTCCAGGTTTCTATACTCGCGGAGGTTACAGGTAGCACCTTTGGCCCCAGGGCTCCAGGTCACAGGGTTATATCTGTTTTTGAGGACCTGGAGCCCAGTGGACAATGCAGGAGGAATGTCTTGAGGGGAGACTTCATGTAAATGCTTGGTTCACAAGCGCCTCACTGCCTGATTCAGGAGGGTAATCAACCTGTCCTTTGAAGCTGCATAAATAATGTTTGGATAGAGGTAGTAAATCTGCACCAGGGATGAATTAACTGCCATTGAGTCATATAAGCTTGGCTTGAGTGTGTGGCTTGTAACATGCCTGAGGAAAATAAAAAAGACATTTGCAAGAAAGAAACATTAATTTGCTCCTCCCTGTCTCTTCTGTTATTTTTGTCTAGGCTAACATGACTTGCTTTGTGGTTTTTTTTTGTTGCTGTTTGTTCCATTTTCACAAGGAAACACTGATTCACAGTGAAATGAATCCACAGTTTCTCCTGGTCAAGCCCGAACGTGCCACCTCTCCTACAACGATGTCACTCCTTTTTAGCACCCCTGCCAGGAGATGCCAACCGGACTCCTTCGACATTCTCAGCGGAGTGACACCTTGCAAGAGGGTCCAGGCTTTTACAACCCCCCGGCAGCGTTCATGCCCCCTCGCACACCTCTCCCCTTGCACACCCCCGCCGGCTCCCAGCTGCAGACCTGGGCACTGCTGGGCCTCTCGTCCAGCTGTGCAATGGCACGGTCTTCTCCACGTATGCGGGGGAAGAGTACGTCCATTACTGTAGACGGACCCAGGCACGTGCACTCATGCATCCACGTCCCCTGTGTGCTGTAGGTCCTGCTGGTTGTGCATCTTGTGCACAGGGGCAAGCTGCTACACCACCAAAAGAACAGAGGAAGTCTTTATTCACAATTGCCTGAGAACCAGGGATAAAAGTCTGTCCTAGAAGAAGGTGGAAAAGAGAAGAAACCCAGGGAATGCCAGCAGAAGGTAGCAGAAAGAGAACTGGGACGTCAGTGTGCACCTACACATCAACATGAGTTAATTTACTTCACTGTAACACTCAGGTATCCAGCCCTCTATTCAGTAACATATTTTAGTTTACTAATAGCTTTTGCTCATATTGCTCTCCTTTCTTTCTCATTTCCAGTGTTTGACCTCTGGTTTTCTCTTCCACTGCTCTCAGTTTTGCATGTCTTTCTGAAAATTTGGTGTTTGCAGTTCCTTTTCCTCCTTCTTAGCTGTATCCCTCTCATTTTCTTCCTCCTCTTTTGGCACAGCACTTGCTGGTTCCCTTCCTCTCATCTCCTCCTTTCTCTGCTGCCTCTTTTTTTCACACAAACAATTTCTCTAACTATAGGGGCCTCTGCTTCTTGGACGCAGTCATTTATCAGTGGTAACCAGTCGTTTCTACTGCTGAAAATTGCTCTGGGAACCAATATCTGCTGTGGGGTAGCCTTAGCATATAGTAACACTTTAAAGATAAGCATTATAAATATACTATATCTAGTAGACAGCACAGTTTCAGAAGGTTGTACTAAGATCTCTTATTAGGCAAGGAACTTTTCACACCTAACCAGATTCTGAAGCCTGCTGTATCTAATACAGCGCGCTATATGACACAGTATGTAGTCTCAAACCAAAACCATAAACATATTGGGGAATATCTCTGAACCCAGATTATGGGTTCAGAGATACCCCTATTGTGGGTTCAAAGATCTTACAGGATTTTAATCCAATGAAGGAGAAGAAAGGAAAGTAAAGAACATTCCTCATCATTAAAATACCGTCTAACTAGAAAAAACGCTTTGGAGGATGGCTTATGTTTTACATATTGCTAAATATCAGCAAAAAATAAATATGTTCATTTCTCTAAAATACCTCCAGATGGCATTAAAACCCTTCTTCTTTCGGTCTTTATTGCGATATTATTTTTTAAAATTATAATTATTGGAATCATTCTATTAACCATTCCCAGTAATCATACTATCAGAAGGCATAAGACTGCTAATGCTTAATTCATTTAATAAGTTTGGCTAAATATGCTCACATACTGTAATTACATTCCACAACACAATCTGCAGGACAAGCCATTTCTTACACTATGTCAAATCTTTTTCTAGATTCATTTCCAGAAGATTTTTAATGCGTGGCTGCAGCAGAAATCAAAACATCCCACAATAAATCACTGTTATTGTACCTCCTTCTGTGACTACTTTTGGCCATGTAACAAATGGTGACACCTTGCGAGATTTACATGATATAATGCTCTGCATTTAAATAACAGGACTCAGAAAACATAAATTATGGGCAAGATGCACTCTAAAATTCACATGACTGACTGTTACAAGAACTTCCCTCCCTCAAATGGGATTAAAAAGGTGAATGGTTTTGCAGAAATTCATAATGCTCCTGCCTGGTAGTTATTAAAGGAATTCACTTATCTAGCTCAGTTTGGGAGACTGATGCTATTTTTGTTTAACTTGCAGCCCATCTGTTTCATAGACTGGTTTATGTTGGCAAAACAATTCAGTCCTTTGTATACTAGAGTTAAAAATGGTAAAAGCTTCTATTGTGGCACTAGAGTGAAGGTGAACACTGATATATTACAAGTGCCTGTTCCTATCTATTTCTTGACTTCTTTTGTTAATTCAAAAACATCAACAAAATCGTGAGAGACCAGAGATAGCTGTAATTGGATTTCAAGTAATTCAGAGTCAAAGCTGCAGACTGCAGTCTTTTAAAATTACATCAGTACATCAAAGGCATATGTGACATGATGTTTTTTAGCAAGTGTGACAAACTCCGGCGGCATTAAGGTAACGTTGAAGTCAGGTTGTAAAGGCCAGCCTCACACACCCACAAAAATCTTCTCATATCTGTTCAGCGTGATATGGAACCATTTCACTTGCAAAGATCTCTGACTTACCAGCATGCAAAAGTTCTAGGAATAATTAATGTTTAGTCATTATCTAAAAAGCTGTTTTAAGAAAAGCATCAGTGAAAGAGCTTTATCTTAATGAAAACAAACAAATTCTATTTTGCCCAACAAATCTGATAAAAACACAGCTGCCTTCTCCGATCTTAAATGCAAAAATGACTTACGATGTATGGGTTGCGCTTTTCTCTGGACTCTTTGGCTCTACATCACTTTTCCCTTTAAAAGAGGAGAAGAAAATGACATCAGAAATGGGTCAGTATGGAAACTGCTCAGATGAGACACGTCAACGCTTTATTCATTACTAACACTGACCACTCTTGCCACCCTTGCAGACCGATCACAGGGCTGCAGGGGCACTGCTGGAGCATTTGCGAGCGGGGATTCAACCCTGACTTGACTTTTCTTGTCACTGCCACAGGGACTCCGGAAATGTCAGGCAAGGAAAGTCCACAAGAGAGGCTGCTTAGAGGACACAAGCTTTATCAGGGATAGCAGACCCTGGAGCAATGGAAAGGATTTCTCTAGGGCCCTACAGCTCTGCTATTGAGAGTGCACCCCGTCCAACATGCACATGCTCAAAAACCCTGCTCCAGGAACAGCAATTATTTCATACAAGGCAAACCAGCATCAGAAGGACCTGGTAAGGCAGTGATTAGGACACACTTCTGCCAATGGATGTTTTAGTTCACATTCATTTTGTCAGATTAAGGATCCGATCTTCAGCTCGTGTAAGTGGGGGCCGGGAAAGCCCCCTTTGCTATGCTGTGCATTTTGGCTGAGGCACTCAGCCCCAGGGACAGTCAGGTACCCACATGCTTGAGAAGTATCAGAGGCCCAAGGGATGCCTCTTCACACTTCCTTACAACTCACATGGGTCCTGGCATAGCATGTTGGCTTGTGATGATCCCCTTCTTGGGTCTAAAATCATCTATCTGCCCAACACAACTTAGTTACATAGCACAGACACCATGGAAGCAGGCTGCTAGCTGATGGGGTGGTACTCCTTCTGCTAAGTCAGGCCAGGTCCTCCTCCCTCCTTTCTTGCCCCCCTCCCCCCGCAAAGTAAGGCTGATGTCATTGTAATTATTGCTCTCCGAGTAACCTGAGAGAGCTGCACTTCAGTGTAAGTTTTTTGTTTAGCTCTACCATGGATGTACAGGGTACACTCTGCTTGAATCACCTTGAACTTGAATTCTGGACCTAGCAACTGTGCAGCTGCTGCTCCTCTTGTGTGTCACTGGATGCTAATAGCTGTCTACACATGAGTTTATGTTGCCTAGCAGACAAGGAGGCGCAGAGGTTGAGTGTGACTGGTTTACTGATAGATGTGTTTTTCTCCATTACCTTTTAATAAGGTTCGTTAAACCAAAATCCACCTGTGCCTTCAGAAAAAAAAATGTGAGAAGTGCTTATTTTGGTCAGGCTGTTTCAGTGTTGTCTGATTTTCTGCTCATTGACTTGACTTGAGTGGGTTTTGGATCAGCTCCCAACCTATTCCATGCACATGAGCATTACATTTCATCCATTTACTGCTGATGAAGTCCTCACCCTTCATCCATACAGTGTTGGGGTGCCAGCGATGGCTGTAAGAGGCACCTCTGGAAAATTTGCTGTCCCTTCAGAAGAGGCAGGGTTTTGCTACCAGTGTCCTTCAGCTGCTGTACAGAAGCAAGGTGAAGGACTTAATCTAGACAGCGACCTTCTGGAAGCAGGTGTCTTGTAGAGGAGCTTCTGGGTATTGCAAACACCTTAATGTGGTGCTTTTAGATCTTGTCCTCCCCTCTGGAAGGGTTTGTGTCTACCCAGTTCAGGTGCCCAAACCTTAGTGAACAGGATGGGGGAAACTCTGGATGACTTCAGGAACACTGTTGCCTCTCTGTGGATCTCTAGGGAAGCTAAGCACTTACAATAGGAGGGCAGCACATAAAATTTAGGCACAGCACGTAAAATTTAGGCACAAGCAGGGCATCCACACAGGATGGATGGAATACACCCACTCCATAATCTCTAGGTCACTTTTCACTTTTAGCAGAGACCTCAGAAAGTATATCCAGATGATGAACTTGCTGGCTAGAAAGCTGTTGCTTTTGTTGTATATGTTTGTCAGCCTTAGGGTGCCTGGAGCCCTGGAGCTCATCTGCATTACGGTAATTTGGAACAAGAAACCAATAGTAACAGTTGGCATATATTCAAAGATTTTCTATTTGTAACTTAGGCTTTTTATAAGTGATGAATTATTACCATGAACACTGGTTTGTTTGAGTGTGAGAGGGAATATGGATTCCTGAGTGCTTTGCCAGCAGAGTTCACATCAGTTCTACTTTCAGCAATGTATGTTAATGGAGCAACAAGGGAAAGAGCCTAAGTACTGTGAGGAGAGAGAAAAGGGAATCTCTGTGATTTAGCCAAACTGGATATTAATGAATTATCCTACAGTAAGCATTTGCAGCTGCATTTATGCTAATCATCACTTAACATACTTCTGTGTGGAGAGGGAGGACGAAGCCTGTACAGATGGTAGAAACGCATCAGTCCAGCCTATCAGAGTAGAAAATCTGCCCATTAATGCTTTATCAGTTCTTACCAACTTTGTTCTCACTTGACTGAATCATAGAAATTTTAAAAATGTGTATAGACTAAGCATAGTTGAATGTCACAGATACAGTACAGATAAGATTTTTGGATAAGCATATGTAAAAGGGAATTACCTGTCAGAACAACATGTTTTTTTCACACTCACTCTTGGCTAGACTAAGATTTGCTTTCCATTTTCCATGTAACCTGCCAAATGCGTGCAGGTACCATTGTGGGAGGCTGGCATTTGCCGACTTGCTAAATCCTCTCTAGCTCTGGCTTCTTCTTGTGGGCAAATCTGTGTCATCCTTTGCTTTTCTTAGTCTTTTTGGAATTGACAAGGAATATGCTACTCATCTCACTATGGGGCTGCTGTTAGCACACTTTATTTCAGGTGCTAAGCACTGTGTATGTCTCCTGAAATGGGTGCGGACGTGTGTGTCTGTGTGTTGGTGTGTGTATGCATACACACACCTCCAGAAACACACAGTGGAAACCATCAGTCCTCAGCTCCTTAGCCACAGAGCTGGGAATTCTTTGCTAGTTTCTACCTCATCTCACACAACTCCCTTCCTGATCTTTTTTAGATACAAGCAGAGGAGATGCGTCCAGATTTCTCTCATTTCAAAATAAATTTCAAATGAACTTTTGCAGGATTTCCCCATTGAATAGTGGGTGGCCAGAGGAGTTCTCTCCTCTGAGTTGGAATTTGGGTGAATCACTCAATCTAACCAGGCCAAGTTTCCCTTTCCGGGCAACAGGGATAAATAATATTTATTGTGACAAAGCAGTGTAACTTCAGCCATCACAGCTTTTTAAATGGTTCAATTTCCTTGTGGGGGAAGGATGAGAAAAATGCAAATTTTATCGATGAGAAAGACAATGTTTGCAGCTGGAGTAAAACCATTGCAAATGACAGGCTCAAGAGCCACTCCGAAGAAGGTATGGTGCAATGGGAAATAACAGCTAATTGGGACTCAGAAGATGTTCATTTGGATAACACAGTACATAGACCACTAGATTTCTTTCCCACATAGAGTCATTTGCTAGCATTTTCTCACATCCTGTATTGGGTTTGCGTGACAAGGCTTTGGTAGTGAGGAGGCTACAGGGGTGGCTTCTGCGAGAAGCTGCCAGAAGCTTCCCCCATGTCCGACAGAGCCAATGCCAACCGGCTCCAAGATGGACCTGCTGCCAGCCAAGGCCGAGTCCATCAGTGATGGTGGTAGCACCTCTGTGATAACATATTTAAGAAGGAAAAAAAGTTGCAGGGGACACAGAAATGGCAGCTGGAGAGAGGAGTGAGAATGTGTAAGAGAAGCAACCCTGCAGACCCCCAGGTCAGTGCAGAAGGAGGAGGAGATGCTCCAGGCACCAGAGCAGAGATTCCCCCGCAGCCCGTGGGGAAGACCACGGTGAGGCAGGCTGTCCCCCTGCAGCCCAGGGAGGTCCACGGTGGAGCAGATCTCCACCTGCAGACCGGGGAGGACCCAACGTCAGAGCAGGTGGGTGCTCGAAGGACGCTGTGACCCTGTGGGAAGCCCACGCTGGAGCAGGTTTTCTGGCAGGACTTGTGACCCCACGGGGGACCCACGCTGGAGCAGTCTGTGCCTGAAGGACTGCAGCCCATGGGAGGGACCCACGCTGGAGCAGTTCATGAAGAACTGCAGCCCATGGGAAGGACCCACGTTGGAGAAGTTCATGGAGGACTGTCTCCCATGGGAGGGACCCCACGCTGGAGCAGGGGAAGAGTGAGGAGTCCTCCCCCTGAGGAGAATGAAGTGGCAGAGACAACGTGTGATGAACTGATTGTAATGCCCATTCCCCAAACCCTTGCGCTGCTGGGGGTGGGTAGGTAGAGAATCCAAGAGTGAAGTTGAGCCTGGGAAGAAGGGAGGGGTGGGGGGAGAGTGTTTTTAAGATTTTGTTTTATTTCTCATTATCCTACTCTGATTTGATTGTTAATAAATTAAACTGATTTCCCCAAGTCAAGTCTGTTTTGCCCACAATAGTAATCGGTGAGTGATCTCTCCCTGTCCTTATCTCAACCCACAAATCTTTTGTTATATTTTCTCTCCCCTGTCCAGTTGAGGAGGGGGAATGATGGAACAGCTTTGGTGGGCACCTGGCATCCAGCCAGTTTCAACCCACCACACATCCAAATCTTTTATTTCCCGAATTTCCTTTGAGTTTGACATACAGGACTGGTAAGGTCTACGTCTCATTCTAACTGTGACTTATCTGATGTCTTATTCCAGCACCTCAACAGGAATCCTCACAGTTACAGGTCTCAGAGGTAGTCAAATTTCCTCTGCAACATTAGCAAAAGTGTCTGGCAGCGACCCTAACTTTTGCCACCAATGAAGAAAATGTTTCTGCATGGGTTCAGCTGTTCTTTGGTTTGGTTGCCATCAGCCAGGCAGTACCAAGTGCAGCTCCAGCCCAGCTGCAGACATATGCTGATTTTGCTGAGCAGGATGAATGAGGAGTTAAGAAGCAGCTGGAGGTACAGTGGTGTGGGAGGGCAGATGGGGGAATGGGAAGTAAAGTGAGGTTGGAGACCACTGGAGTAAGGAGCAGAGGAAAGTTGTAAGGAGGTAGGACTGATTTCCTATTCCACAGGAAAGCACGTTTTATTAGATCTGCAGAACAACCTGTTTTATTCAACTGTTGAAAGAAGGAAATACTCAAAATTAAACTATGACCAAAGCTGGCCAAACACTGTGGCCTCTGATGTCATCGCGAAGCCCTCAGCTCAGCTGGTGTGTTTGTCATGCTTGTGACTCTGTGTGTGTTTGCATAGCCCTCTCTATTACAGCCCTTTTGTGCTTCCTTCTCTCATTACTGTATTCATCATTTTCTGACAGAACCTCATCCCCTTTGCCTTTTATTATTTCCTTAGTGCTGGTACTTGCAGCAATATCAAACCGATGCCAGCAATTAAGTGACACCACTGCATGTTTCTTCACAACATTGTCTTCCGCATGCCGACCTTTCCCCAGCAAAGAGCCGCACCATTTTAACAGCCTACATCTCCCAGCCTTGTCTCTCTGGATGTTTTCTTCCTCATGCAGTGGGTGACCAGCCACTTTCAAAGCCCCACCTCCCAGCTCATCTTCAGTCACAGCCCTGTAATTTGCAAACAGGGCTCTGTGCTGGCTGACAGGTCAGGAAGCTAGCAAAATAGTTCTTTTGGTTGAGGTGATTTTGTGTTGAGAGCAGAATAGGATCATGTATCTTTAATATGCGAGACAACATTAACAACAGTCAGAGGTGTCAGGGGAGAGGATTAATATTTTGTTTTGCAGAACAATTCAATCTTTCAATACAGCTGCTAAGTTTTTTACCATAACTAAATGTGATTAAAGTGTTTCTGATCTGCCCAATGATTTGTAAATTGGAGTCCACTGAAAAGCCCCAACCAGGAGCCACACAAGCACACATCACTCCCCTGCCCACAGTGCTAGCCAAAAAGACCCACGGCCATATGGTCTTTGAGACATGATCTGGTGTTAGTTTGGCAGGATTTATGTAGCTTATTACTGTGCAATAGCCACAAAATATACCATTGCCTACAAAAGATAAATGATAACAAGTCTTCCTGTAGAATTTTCTGGCAGTCTGGATCTGGCCATGCAACTAGGTCAGTTCTTTTCTGGCTTTCTAAAAAAGCCACTCTTTTGCCCTTTTAGTCTTTCTCATCTACATAATGAAACGGCCATAACAAAATGAATCCTTTTTGTTATTCCCAGTCCACCAAAAGAGCTAACATTTTGATAGTAACCGTTCAATTCTGTTCTCCACATTTGGCCAGAGCCAAGTACTGCCTGCTGAGGCTCTGTGCCGTCCCAGTCTGCTACTGGTTCCTTACTCTATCAGTCACTTGTTTGTCATAGTCATTGCCATCCCCTCCACCGAATGCAACCAGAAAATGAGTTGGTACTTACTTGTATTGCTGTGTCCTGTAGATCCCTGTTGTGACTCCTACAGTAATAATATAAAAAAGGTACAGTGTGTTATTTTTACAGCAATTTTTAGCTGCAATACTTGCTTGAACATTACCTTAATGATACAAACAGCATTGTTAATTGTTCATTCAGTTTCAAAGTAATTTTCAATTACAAGAATAAATCCAATATTTCTTTGAAAATCCATTAATTCTAAGGCTTGTAAACAACCCTTTAATGGTGCAATTCCTTGTATAGCTATTACGACTCTCCTGCTCACTATTCATTTATTGATCAGCCAAAACTCGTCTATTATCTTCTGCAAGTTTAGATGAGAAGACAGAGGGAAGACCAATATTGTTTCATGGACCATTGGATTCCTGAGGTAGTAGCACAGCTGGTCTTTCCTTTTCACATGGTGAAATTGACAGCACTGGAGAGTGGAAATACAGACTTTAGTTTTGGGTCCCTGAGATTACAAGGTCAACCTTGTATCACAACCGCAATATCTAAGAATATGGTGCAATAAATAAAAAATGCATTTTTTCCTCACGTGCAAATGTTCACATATTTTACTCAGAGAATTCATTTGCATTCATAAAAATATAAAAGAAGCCTATAAATAGAAGGGAAATACAAATATAAACTATAACAAAAAGATATTTAAACTAAGGGAAAGAAGAACACTTTGCTATGGGAGGGAAGCAGGGAAGATGTCCTGTATGTCACTCTGCTTCTGAATAACCCAGACACACACAGGAATACGACCTCGTATACATGCTGCACTGACAACTGCAGTAGAGTGCTCGGAGAGGCCAGGCACCCACAGCAACACATGTGGTCATTCTCAGTGAGGAATCGGGTGCTGGACCAGATCCTTGGTCCACAGAGGCTGAGCGAAGAGCCAAATGCACAGCTCATCAAGAAAGGAACTGTAAGTCCCCAGAGAGCTCAAGGATGCTCCGACTCGGCCGAACAGAGATTTTGCTGCTGAGTCACTGAGAAGCACGCCTCAGGGGTTTGGGGCCCCAAGAGTTTCTTGGCGTCTCTAAATGGAGGTTGGCTGGACCGCAGGCACTGGGGTGTCGAGGGCTCAGCTAGTCAAATCCCCTCAATCTGCACCATTTACTCTGGAGTCAAGGCTCTCCAGATTGCATGGCTTTGATCCGTAATTTTTATGCTAGAATACACATCTGCAATTCACTGCTATCCTACACATCTGAAATGTGAGACATTGAATTCTTGGGCAAGCCCTAAGAGTTTCTACCTTCAACTGCAGTATGAAAAGATTTGTACCATGTTTCACATGCAGACAATAATTTCTCAATAATTTGAAATTGTCTACTTTTGACAAATTGCCTCAGCTTTTTGTGAATGCTTCTGATGAAGGGATATTAAAGCCTGTTTTTTTCTGGTGACTGAATATAATCTTAAGAAGTTAGGATCAGCTTGCAGTAGTGATGTAGTGACACGTACACTTGAATTTACATGCTATTCTAGTAGCCAACCAGGCTGCCAATAAAAGTAGGCTATTAGAGCATGTTCAGTTTCCAGAATAGTGAATTTATGTACCTAGAGGAGTTTGGGGGAATACAATCATTTTGATGGAAATACCCTGAGGTTTGTAAAAGTGTTTGAAACTGCTAAACAAGGATCTCGCTCACTCTTTTACATTTTCATCAACCTCAGGAAGAATGCAGCCCCCGCTTTAACTGCCTAGCACAGTATCTTACCTCTGCCATGGACTCTGCGTAGTCTTAAATTTGACATCAGCAAAACATATGAGCTATAACATTTTCACTTTTCCTTTTAACTGATTCTTTAAAATAAGTGTCTTGATTCTCAACAAATTATTCTTAACAATAAAGGCTACTACAAAAATCACATAGTGAAGTAGAGAACACTCCCACTGAGGCAGAAAAAAAATACGACTTTATGTAACTTAAAAACCAAAGGTGAAGTCTTCACTTATGGAGATTATTTTCTAGTGCATTTGCTCCAGCTTGTTAAAATCAACAAGAAAGGGAAAAGTAAATGAATTGAGCACGTAAAGAATAACATCACTATGTTAACTTAGCTTCTGCTGAGAATAATCACCCAATAGCTTTGTGACAAGACACCAGTTCTCCTGGAGTAGATAACTTAATTCTCAAATAACAGAATGATGGCTGATCCCATAATATCGCATACACGTAACTAGGAATCAAACACCTTATCAAACTTTTGAGACATGAAATCACAGTAAAAATGAAGAAAGAGAGCAAAGCAGGCAGCAGAATTAACAGCATTTTTTCCCGCATAAGAGTAGAGAATTAATGCCTGAACATGAAAGCTCATTCGCACAAGCATCAAGTGAGCTCTTATTTACCAAATTTAATTATTCATTTAAAGTTTATTTATTAAGATGTTTCTAATAAAATTACAATCAAATAATGCCTGATCATTTGTACATAACAAAGTGTGACAGAGATAGGAGAAAGGAAAGCACACACAGCCTGTCATATCACACACTGATTCAATTATCCTTAAGCTTTGAAAAACAAGAAATAAAGAGACCGTCATTGCCCCTTCCTAGTAAATTCAAGAGTACAAATTAATTCCACAGAGAAAGCAAATTCAAAGTTAAGGATGAAATGTAACTTTATGCCCTCTATTACATGAAGGACAGCTCCCTAAATGTGCTCTCCCAGCAGCACTGTGCTGGGAAATCTACTGGGCACTGGCGCACGTGTCAAACTTGACCTGGACTATCCTTCCATTCTTGTGCATTAATGCAGACCTCCCATGTTAATGAGGTCTGATTTCATATACAGGTACAGCATATGCACATACATCCCCCCCATCCACTGAGCATATAGTTATATAGATGGACACATCCACATGCGCAGTTTCAAATACACAATTCTGTTATATTTGTGATATATAAACCCTAGTTATTTAGCTTTTATTACTAGATGGATTTCAAAGCCAGTCTAGCTATAGTTGCTGTGGCCTTTGCAACTTTAATAGCCTAATTAATAAATTTCAAGTTTCAAGCTGTCAGAGCACTAATTACTTGAGTTGCAGGTTAAAAGCAGTGTGGCATGTATGGGAACTAATGATGCTGACACTCAGTTTTCACAGACAGAAAAGTAAGGATGATTTGCAACCTTGCAACAGGGCAGGAGTCCTACAAGCTTCTCTTTTTCTCATTCCCAAAATGATAAGTACCTTTACACTTGGGAACTGTCTTCTGTTGAAAAGGATTGCAGCCTACTTGCTTCTCTGGCTGGAAGAGTCATTGCAAATGAACTGAACGGATCTCTCAACATGGCCATAAAGCCTGAAAATGAATTCACGGTACCATGCATTGCTTTAAACTAAGAGATGAAGCTGATGCCCTGAATTTAGCCTTTTAGCCTCTTTGCTGACCTTGGCCACTACTTAACTGACAGGCCCATTTATCTGAATAATGTGCGATCCACAACAGTTTGGTGTAGTCCTTAGGTTTTAACAAGCTGGGACAGCTACGTAGCTTACCTGTGGGAAAGCTTCCTAAGAGTTGCGGAGACATCCTCTATGAGATCCAACAAAGATTTTACACCACACTTTGTGAAAAACAATAGCTAGCTTATGAATGTTTCAAAAAAATGTTTGAAAAATTAGGAAACCATTCTTTGCATTTTGAAGTCTGAAAAGCAGATGCCTTCTAAAGTCTGTGACTGTACAGATTCAGAGTAAGCGACAGAAGTAGCTTTTAATTATTTTAAAATATCTTAAAATGGAGGTAGTATCTAAAATTAACATGATCTATGGCCAGTAATGCAGGATTTTTTCAGGGCTCTGGTGAGTTATGTTAGGTACTTCCCCATCTCACACAAAGCACTCTAATTTCTGACTGTGCAGACCACCCAGGTCACAATACAGTTGTGATGTTGTTATATGTACAAAAGTATGCTCATATATTATTAGATGAAATCTTGTTCATCCTAAGCCTAAATAAAATGGAAATTCTACTTTGGTAAGAGAAAAGGAAACCACCTAGAAAAGGCTCTTTAAAAATGAATGGCAGATCCCTGAAACAGCTCTGCAGTTCAAACTATTAGAATATTTCCCAGAGATGGATCAACAGGCAGAAAGAAGATGAGAAAGTCAATATCAACCATTATTCACATATCTTTGTCCTATGGTCTGTGGTTCTTCTATTCCTGTGTTTATCACAATACATTTAGCTGTGAGAAAGTGCATTCATGATGACCGCATAGATATGCTGATAGGTGCATACCTTGCCCATGCACATCTGCACACGTGCCACGCAAGCACATCACGTGATGATAATTATGGCAAAAACTGCAGAGCTGCAAGCACCACTTCGTTTTTATCATCCATATCTGGGTACTTCACCTGCTTGTAAGCTGCTGATCCACCTATCTCCTACAGGACTTACTCTAACATAACAAGCCTCTAGCCCGCCTACCATCTTCAATCAGCTGTCTGCCTTCAATGAGCAAATAGAAAGTGAGTTATTGCCTTCTTTTTCTTTCATAACATACCAGAGATGTTTTGGTTTACACCCCTGGTACTTCAAAATCATGACACTTTCATCCACGGAAAAGCTTTTTTACTGTAGGCAAATCTTGAAGGTTTCTTGGCTTTGTGGATTTTGCAGAACAGACTTAAAAGTTACCAAAGGAGCTTGCTTTAACAGGATAAAGGCTATAAACAGCATCAGTACCATCTTTCAAGCTTGAACACTTCATGAAATATGCTTGTGGCATATAAACAGTATATGGTGATACAATGTGAAATTTTTATTGGCTCTTGCATAGGATAGCTGATTTAATTCCCTCCCGACTTATGAAGTATCGATAATGTGGTTTCCCCAAGCTCGTGCCAATGAGCTTTACCATGCCGCACTGCATCCTCCCTGGGATACTCGTACAATAGTGGAGCTTGTTGCAAGGGACCATCAGCAGGACCAGTGGCCTTGGTTCTTTGAGGGACCAGATACTTCCCTGGCAAATACTTCTGTGGCCCCTCTGGGCATCATGGCTCTGGGCTGCCTGCCTCTCTAGCAAAGCTGCCCCTGAAGCCAGGCTGGTGGCAGGGGATGTACGCCCACTCCTCAGTCCCCAACTATAGAGGCCAGTGTATTAGCAAAGCCCACCTCAGACCTCAACGATTTCAACAAAAATCTCAGCTAGTGAAGCCAAATGAAGCAGGAGCAATGGATGAGAGCAGGAGCTTCTTGACTCGCAGCAGTTGTGTGTGCCCTGAAGTATCGGTCAGGAACCTCAGCAGGTGCCCGCAGAAGGCACCACACCTGGACACCCTGCCAGGGAACCTGTGGTTTTGCCTTGTGGTGAGGAACCCGTGACCCACACACCAGCATCAGTGCTGCTGCCAGGAGATATGCAAACAAGACCATGTAGCCCTGCAAAGGCTGTAAGCAGGGAAAAGGCAGGGGATACTGGCACACACATGGAGAAGGTCACTGGCATGGCATCAACCTCAGCCCAGAGACTTCCCATGCTTAGTCAGGGCTCTTGTAGGACGTATTTTGAGGTGCAGGAAGCATGGTTCTACATGATGTTGCTTGTCTTACCTTGTTTGGGAAGGGAAACTTGCTTTGTTCTGCCTTTCCTGGTGTGTGAATAGCTGACAGTGGCGGAGGCCACGAATGAGTCATCTCCTGAAAAACAATATTGAACAGCAAACTGTGTTTAGAAAGCCTATGGAATAGGAGACAGTGACAGTATATCAGTAGCAAGAGTGCCTGGGTAGTGGAATATTTAAGTTACTGCAGCTTCTAGGAAATGCCCAGTTTACATATAATCTAGACAACACATGTACTACATTGGTTTTTATCACAGACTCTTGAGAGCAGTTCTTAAGCACCGTTTCATTTTCCTGAATAGTTAATGCATCTTAAGTGCAAGAAGTTTGATTATTCTGACAATCTGCAACCACATTTTAATCATGCAACATATTCTGGCTGGTGAGACTAACAGAAAAACTTTTTTTGTAGTATGGGAACAGAAATTTCAGTTCATGACCAAGTAATGGGTACACACTATGGCCTAATCATGAAATAGATTTCATAGACAAGGTCAGAATAATAAATACTTGACATTTGCTCAATGGTTAATTCCTAAAATTGCTTTTGTCATTGTAAAGGAGTTGAATAAGTTCCTAACTGCAACATGTTTGTGCCTTGCAGGACACAGACATGTGGCAAGCCCTAAACAAGGTCTGTTGCACTCCAGCTTTGTCTCCTCCCTGTGCTGTTTTGAAGGACATTTTTTAATAGCTAAGAGACATACATAGCTTGACCTGACTTGTATGCAGTCATCCTTGACACAGCTTCAGGTAGCAGGCAGACACACGTTCAATACCATTATCATTCAAGCCTGAAGGAGTTGGTCTCCAAAGCATGGGTGCTTTTGGGAAGGTGTAAATTAAACACTTCAGACAAGAAGTTTAAGAGAGAGGCTCCATATTCCTCTCTAGTGCAGGCTGTTAAAGGATGGACATGTTTTTTTTGACATGTTCAGCACTAACAGCCATAATATTTGGTACACAGTAACTCAGCAGAATTAATATGAGAAGTAGCGTGGAGCGTGACAACCCTGAAGAGTCAGCTCGTAAGTCTCAAGAGCTGAAGAGCAAATAACATCCTGCCTAAGCAGGGTGCTCGCTGACACTATCACGAGTTTGCCTGGCAGGTGCTTTGCTGGGTTTTGATACCATTAGCTGACGTTGGAATTGTTTCTCAGTGATATTCCAAGGAGTCGTGCTGAGATCCACGATCAGTCCCAAAATAATACTGGAGTTACATTTCCATGACTCATTCCTTTTTAAAGAGAAAAGAAAATGTTCTTGTTTGAAAAAAGGTGCGGGTGAGGCTCTTGCTCATCCTTCGCTGGTGCTGATGGAAGTGCTTCCTGACCCGGCACGGACTGAGCTGGGGCATTTTTTACATAGAGGAAAGTCTCTGGCTGTTCTGCCAATGAAAGGATCAGCCCTTTCACCATAGTTTATTAGTAATAAATGTCACCTTTAAAGCATTCTTGATAAACAGTTTATTTCCTAATAAAAACTGCATTCTTTTGTTTTATTTGAGGCTAAAAAGTTACATGATTTATTATACTTCTGTAATCTACGTGCGTGCCTCTAATCAGAGCGTCATCTGGTTTGCAGTTTCAGTATCAGAATTGCTTTGCTTTTCAGTTCTTTGAAGCAGATTGTTCATCTTATGACTTCCTTATCTGATAAGTGCCAGCAATAGCAGTATATAGTAATTTTTAATATACAGTAAGTGCTTTATACTCAGGCAACAAAAAACACAGGCAACCAGACTGCTGTTTGCTATAACTGCCTGGCACACGTGCTATTGTTTTCAAAAGAATAAGGAATTACATACTGAGAAATATTCCAACAGTAAATAAATTGATGAAAAGGAGATTTGCAATGTGGACATTTAATCCTGAGGCTGTGAGCTAAAAAAGTATCACTTTCTCACCTGCTTTTCTTTGCTTTTCCCTTACAGGACCATTTGCTTACATTCTAGAAAATGGGATTTGTGCATATAGACTAAAGGTGTTTCCACCAGTAAAACCCCATTCCCAAACAAAGTGTTTTTGCCTACAAGTTGAGGTGCTGAGCCCAAAAATATGCACAGGAATGAACTATGTGTCCCTTTCTTCTGAAGGGCAAAGCTCTAAGTTATCTCTGTCAATTGAAGAATCGGGGCAGCCAGACTGGGAATGTCTAGTGGCTTTGACCTAAAGTTACCCTACTTGTGAAATATGCTATTCAGTACTTATGATTTCCATTTGCCCAAGAAGCCGTTCCTCCAGGTTATATGGTGGCTGACCCCACTGTCATCTTCAGGGAAACATCTTCTGAGAAGTCTGCTATATGCCATGCAGAAACCAATCTGTTACAGCAGCAGACCTCTTCCCTCCCACCTTGCCTGCCCGAGTCTGACAATGATGCCTTCATCCAGGGAAAGGACCAGAGGGCTGATTAAAAATAAGGGTGACCTTTTTTTTTGACATGTCAAAATCTTTCATTTCTTCTTTTCTCCAAGATTATTTCTCATCCACACTTCAATGAAAAATGGCCTTAATGGTCTTTTTTTTTCCAGCTAGTTTCTCTTCTTCCTTTTTACTTTGAGTTGTGGTATATAATAAAGCTTTCTACATAATTTAAATTTGACATAACCCTTTCTGACACAAAGATTTAGTAAGACCACTGATATTTGCCAGGGTTAATAATTGCCATTATCATGAATATCTGAATGTGAATTTACTAGAATAATATTTTGAGTTGTGATCATATAGTGTATTTATCACTACCCTTTGGAATTCAGACAACTATAAAATGAAATCAAATCAGAAAAAAAAAATCAGAAAACTAACATGAAAAATACCCCGAACTACCACTGAGGAGTGGTAAGATTTAAACATAATAAAATATTTTTTGAAAAGAGAAATATTAAGCGATGTGTAGTCTCCTTCTGGCTGCTAAGAACAGAATCTCAAAAATCAGGAGAAAGGATTTAGGTGTCCAGCAAGTGTCAACACTTTGCAAGGTCCAGCAGAAACAAATCCAGAATATGTTCCTGTGTGCCAAATCTCGTGATTTTAGACTCTATCTGAAGATATTTGAGTGAGATTAAAAGCACCACTGGTGACATATGATTATATCAAGATCCTTTTTTAGTACATGGTGTGAAATGTTTGAAAACCTAAACCCAAAGGGCAACTAGCTAACTAAATAGAAAGGACTCAACTTTTATTGTTAAAATAAACTTTCATGCACAGCTTCTCTTTTCTGCTCAGCTAACTTGCCTGTCTTTGGAGTTTGGGATTGGCAGAATTGGCATAAGGCACCCACTGGACTGAAAACAATGTTTCAAATGGACTGATGAAAATTAAAATGTACTTAAGATCCTCGGCACCTTCAAATTGGTGTTACAGCATTGATTGACAAAAGATTTTTGAAATTAGAAGGAGAAAAAAGCAAGGATTTTTTTTAGCATAAATCAAACAGAAAATAGGTCCAAAACCCCTGGCACCAGAAAATGTTCCAGCCACTACAAGATAATGGTCTATTTTAAAACCAATTTAGATCTTTCTCCAAACTTGATTAAGTTAACCTTAAAGTCATGAACAATGTTAATTAAAGGAAGCACTGAGAAGCCATTTGGGGTCCAGAAGCGGGGAAAACAAAGATTCCTGGATCAAAGAAGGAAGTCCTGACTAGACTGCTTAAAAATACATGTGGATAAGCACGTGTGCCCAACTGCAGGGCAGCTTGTTTGATATGACGATGACTTCCCTCCTCCTCCTGCAGCCAGATGCACAAGACTGAGGGGTGGCTCTGAGAACCCCCTTATTTTTTTTAAACACGTTTCTCCTTGTGAGGGTTGCGATGTTACACACCGACGTCTTTGCAGTGGTGCTGATGGCACATCTCACTCACATGCATATTGTAACTCTACAACTCTACAACTCTACTTGTCTCCACCTGTAATAAATCAGTTTTCAGCAGTTATACATAAATGTCCAGTTTTACAAGCTATAAAGGTCCAAGCCTAGTTAATCTTAGTCAACGTGCCAACTTGGCTTTTCTTCTTACTGAAGGCAAAACCTTCAAATAAAGAAATCTATAGTATTGCGTATCCTTGCTCCAAATTCAGTTTCCGCAGCAACAATTAAGTAACGAGACATTTCTTCTGGATTAATGACTGCTTGGCAGTGTTTTGTTTGGGGCTTTTAACCCTAGCTTGTAGGTAATTTTTCAGGAAAAGTACCATGCAGAGGTAAATAATAGTATTCACTCTAGACTTAAGGCAATGCTATTTATCTAGTGCCATCAATCTTGCTGTGTGGCACATGATACTAGGAATGGTTGAACTGATTCAGAAAAATTGTAATTAATAAAAAGTAGGGAGACCAGTATCATCTAGATTTAAAGTCTCGCCACATGTATTATCTGGCTGTTCATTCGCTGCCAAAAGCAGAACTTATCATCAGGCCATTAAGAAAATTGACTGTTTAATCCTCCTCTTTGCTTGTGCTCACCTAGCCAATTTTTGATTCATAATATTTTGTCTCTCCACAGATGATGATTTAAGAAATGTTTGTAGCATCTCATAAAGGACCCTGTCAAACACCTTTTGAAAATTATTTTAGCTGGCTCAACTTCATCCACTGCTCTACTGACATGTTGCAGGAATTATAGGAGATTGGTGAGACACAATTTTCCTTTGCAAATACTCTGCTGGTTAGCTCACAGGGACCGCAGAGGCTCTCTCTTTGTAGTTACCTACACTAAAATGCAGATTTTAGGGAAGCATTAGATATATTTATTCAGCTGGAAGTCAAGGCAACACAAAGCTAACGCAGAGCTTTCCAAGACCCTTTAGCAAGTGATCACAGGACACAGTTTGAGAATGTCTAATCCAGTTACTCTCCTGTCTTCATAAAATAGATTTTTTTTTTTTTACACAGGAGACTCTCTCTTTAACTGCTGTCAGTTTGCGAAGATCCCTTTCAGTTCAGTGAGGCTACACTGCCACTAGCTGACAACATGGCTATGATTTTAGTGTCAAACAGCCAAAGCAAAGAGTCTGACACTGAAACTTTTGGAGACTATGTTGAAGCTGACAGCATTTCACTATGA